TCCCTTGGGCACGTGGAGCGTCCCTGGGTGCTGGGGACTGGTACTACCATGCTTCTCCCTTGCAGACATGCCATGTTCTGCCACCCAGGCTGGCAGGAAGGACTGTATGGGTACCCAAGGACCTCCATTTCAGGGTTGCCTCAGCATGTTGCTTTCTGAATTTGTCCTATCCCTGGTGCCTGGCCACCAAGGGCTGGAGGGGACATCCCTGCCGGGCTGAGCTGTTCCCCTGCCCAGAGAGGCAGGGAAGGGGTGATGGCAGCAGGGTGTGAGCCCTGGCAACAGGGCTGGGAACCTGCCTCCGTGGTGGGGCACACCTAGGGGACGTGTACAGGCAGGCAGGGGCTCCTGTGCATAAAAAAGTGACTCTCTCACTTGGCAGAGACTTTCGGAAGCAAAACACAGCCCACACACCTTCCCATCATATCCCTCCATCCCGCTGCCACACTCCCAGTACCCACCCACAAGCAGGGCAGTAAAGCGCTGTATTTCACCCACACAGGACTTATGGCTGTCTGCCCTCCTGGGCCTGGAGGTCATCACAGCTCCAGGCAAGGTGCTCCCCAAAACCAGGCTGGAAAAACGCTCTTGGAGGTCATGCCTGGGGCAGGAGGAGCCAGGCACTGTAGCTGGAGGTTATTTAGCATGAGGAAGCTACAAGGAAAGCGTCCCTTTTGGGATGGCTCTGCTCTGCCCTGCCAGTTGGTTGGGGTTTGCAAAGCACAAGTTCTTGGGGGGGTGGTTTGTCCCTGCCCAAGAGACAGCCACGTCCCCCCCGAGGTTCAGCCAGGTGCCTTCCAGCAGCAGCTCAGCCAGCCTCCACACCAGCCTCCCACCCCCTACGCTTGTTCCCACAAGCTTTCACCCAGAGGAAACCCCTGGGGCATGGGAGCCCCACCGTGGTGCAGAGACACCTGCCATGAAGCCAAAGAAAGGTGGAGAAGGGGGCTGGACACCACCCCCCTCCCCTCGATCTGTCCCACACCCCTGGATATGTCATCCCTGTCCTCAGAGGGGGGACCAGCAGCTGAGAGATGCCCAGAGCCATCCCATATGCAGGATGAGGTCTGTCCCCCAAGTCGGGATGCTGCATTTCTCCCCCAGGGGAGAAAGCCCACCCAGGGAAGACCATGAAGGCCTTTGCAAAGAGCTCCCCACCACCCCTAAGTAACAGCCCCCCTCAGGAGTCACAAGCAGCAACAGGGCTCAGCCTGCAGCCCAGTCCAGCAGCAACACTCGTACCTCCAGCCAAACTCCTTTATTTCCATCCAGTTTCACCACTGGTACAGAAAATAGAAAACATAAAAAACAGGCTTTTTTGTGCCCCCCACTCCCCCGTCCCCAAAGCGTGCCGGCTATTTACAGGCAGAGGCGAGCGGCTCAGTGGCAGCAGCTGCACTTGCTGCTGGCTGGCTCCTTGCACACACAGCCCTTGGCACAGTTGCTGCAGGTCGCAGGGCAGCAGGAGCAGCAGCCTGTGGGGGGCACAAAAGAGTTAGGGGGTGGGTTGGAAAAGATGGGGGTCCCATGGGGAAAGGGCACTCTATGGAGAGCGGTGACCCCCCCACCCACATCAGCAAGGGCCGTGATCCCAGTGGGGTAGTAGTTGGGGTCTCTACAAGGCCGGGGGCACCCCCCAAAAGGGGAGCAGGGTGGGGTCTCGAGGTGAAAAAGGAAGGATCCCCAATGAGGGTCCTACGGAGCATGGGCACCCCCATGGGGAAGCGGTGGGGTGTCCATAGGGGGTCCTACAAGGGAAGGGGGGAAGTGTATATGGGGCTGGGGTCGGGAGGTCCCCATGGGGGGGGAAGGAGGAGCTCCCCTACAGCGCAGGGAGGTGCCCAGGAGGGTCCCACCGGGCACGGGCACGGGCAGCCCCCCGCGGGCAAGGCTGGGCCCCCCCGGGCTGAGCCCCCCACTCACTCTTGCGGCAGCTCCGGCAGCGGCAGTTCTTGCACT